TCGGGAGAGACTGACGTAAGACACGGAGATCTCATTGTATGCGCCCAGTGTCTCGGCCGAGTTTTGAACCCAGTACCCACCCGATACAGATACACAACAGACCCTACAAGTTATGACACAAGGTTATAATTCAAAATGTTCCGGGCTCGACTCCGGTTGCTGTTAAGAAAATTAATTGTCTTTTCCTTAGGAAGCTGCTAGTGGCTTATCAAAAGCAAAAAACAGAAAAATAAACTCCGTGGTTTTAGTCCGCAACCGAACTATACCGACCGAGCGACCGGCGCTTGTCGGCGAAGTTAGTTCCAACTTTAGTGGATAGAAGATGTCACGTGGTCAACGCAACGGATCCCCATGGCCGTTAATTTTGGTTGTTAATAAATTCCCCACTTTCTGTTGAACCCGAAGGTTCATTACCGTGTTCAAAACAACGAGCCACTGAGCCCTGTTATTGGGTAGTTCAGTATTGTCCATATCCTCATATACAACTTCTTCAAGGTCCATTTCAACATTACCCTCCCATCTATGTCTAGATCTTCCAAGTGATGTCTTCCATTTAGATGTTTCCACGGATAACTTGTGGGCATTCATCACTTCCCATACGCCTTCTACATGTCACGTCCATCTCATCCTCCTCGATCTTATCATGGTGACATCTGGTGACAAGACAAATTTACATTTCCCTTCATAATGTAATTTCCTGCATCCTTCTGCCTGAAAATATAGGTATAAGGACATTCACCTGAAGACAGAGCTATAAAAAACTGCCGAAACAAAGCGTTTTGGTTGGCATATAGGTAACGGTCTAAACTCGCATTCAGGAGATGCTCGGTTTGAATCCCGGACAGTGTCTGTCCTCAGCTTTTTCGTGAATTTCGTAAGATATTCCAGGCAAATACGTGAATAGAACCTCGATTAGGTCGCAGCCGTTTCCTTCCTGATCCTTTCCAACTCATTTGTGATTCCACTATCCCACACTATATACTCTGCTCTACAGAAAACGTCATTAAATAACGCAGCAAAAGAAATGATCGCCGAGTGACTTCAACTGCCGTCCTCCCACAGATGGTGTTCAAGTCGATTTCCGACAAGAATCGATAGTAATGAATGTGCGAGTTTATCCTGAATTAACGAACGCAGGCCTGTCAACACGAATGTTGTTAACGACATATTGTTACGCAACCAGGAGCATAGGTGTTGACAGACAGGCATTGTGTTGCGATCTATAGGCCATTACTGCTACTGGGTTCGCGGTGAACACTTTCTGCATGGCTGGAAGAAAAGAAAGGCGACAGCGCGGGGTGATGGGCTGCAGGTAGGCAATGAGGCAGACACAGTCCTCTCACGGTTATCACACGTATTGATTTCGGAGGGCTTTCTATCTAAACGCGCGTAAGATTTACGTCCGTCCACATGTTTCGTGTCCCTCGTCCTAACATTTCATTCACTTACGATGTACTCCGACACCAGGATAACCAGTCGGTGTAGTGAGTAGTCCAGCAGCTGGGTAACAGAGAATCCTCGGTTCGGTTCCCCATAGGGACAAGAGATTTTCTCTTCTTCACAGAGTCCAGATCGACTCCGAGGCCCGCCCATCTTCCTATTCAACAAGTTCTGGCCCTTTTTTCATGGGGGTAAAACGGCCGAAGTGTGAAGCTGACCAAGTAGTTACTATAGGATTCTGACGATGGTGTATAACACACTGATATATTGGGTTTTTGGACTTTATCCATCGTCCTGGTTTTTAAGATAACTAATAAAAACACGACGTTTCGGAAACTGGATCTGTTTCCGTCCTCAGGTGAAGGAAAAACCTATTCTGTTGGGTCCGTTAGAAAGAGCTAGCCTCAATCTCTGGACCACTGGTCCAACAGAATAGGTTTTTCCTTCACCTGAGGACGGAAACAGATCCAGTTTCCGAAACGTCGTGTTTTTATTAGTTATCTTAAAAACCAGGACGATGGATAAAGTCCAAAAACCCAATATATCAGTGTGTGAAGCTGACCATTCACCTACCTCCATCCCCCATATGTCTTCACTGCATAGTGCTTAAATGGTTAAGCATGGGGGAAACTTTACCTAGGTGTGTGCCCTGCAGTTGAGTAGCCCGCACGTCCTTACAATGTAGCTGGGGACCGTGGCGTGACTGAGTTCAATCTGGAGTCCATTTCCCCAGGACATTTGTTTCTCCCTTAGGAGTACACAACGTAGTTGAGTAGCCGCCACGTCATCGCTATGCGGGCCGCCACTACAATCTCGAACTGTGGATATAAATTCGCAGGCGAGAGTGACACGAGATCTGCTCTGTGATCCCACAAATTCATGTCAATGAACGCACCTGCAGAGGGGGAATTGGATTCGGCTTGCGCGTGACCTGGGTTAACTACCCTCCGGCCTCCGAGAGTGTATGCGGGGTAGAGCAGGAGGGAACAGACCCGCAACAAGTAACAGAACACCTGACGTAATGACAGAAAAACAAACGAACTGAATATCCGTGAAAGGTTTTAGGTCATCACGGCAATGATTATGAACCATACTACTGCCTTTTGGGATATGACGTATGGCAGATTGTTACCACCGTTTCGGACGCAATTCCTGCCTCCATCTTCAGGTATTCAGTCTTTTAAGTCGATACTATGTTTTCGAAATGACATATTGCCACTATATTTAAGAGAGTTTTTATAAATGAATAGCAATGTTTTGGAAAAAGTTGCCTCCTCCATATTCAGAAAACTGACGTTTCGGAGGAAACTGTTGCTTTCACCCACCCTCCTAGTCTGTCCCAGATTAACCGTTCAACCAAGTCATTATTATATTATTAGTATCAGTAGCAGTAGCAGTAGCAGTAGCAGCAGCAGTAGCAGTAGCAGTGACAGTAGCAGTAGCAGTAATATTTACGTCTCACTTACCAACACCGTCAGTAGCTCAGACAATAGAGCTTCAGATGATTAGGTGATTGGTGAAAGAAAAAAACTGGAAAATATCCGAAAGGAAAGGATCCGACAGGAAACTGTGCTGGCCTATTTAGAACTAACAACGTGCTTCGGCCGAGATTCGAACCGGAAAGCTCCCGAATACAAGTCAAAAAGCATTACCTACTGTTTAAAGTCGCTCGCTAACTGATGAGTGGAAAGTTTGTAACCCAAGCCACTGTTCGAAGTCAGGACTCCACAACGCAGATACCAAGATTACCATGTGTAAGAATGAGAGTAGATTCGGTCACCGATAGCTTAAAGCATGACTGGAGCGCAAAGGTGTACTCCAGTGGAGTACACACATCTCAAAATGCGTACCTTCGCCATTTTCGGACGCTCATTTTCCTTTATGAGTATTTGACACTAATGTCTTAACGAACTAACAAACATGAATAATTAAACTATTTGTATAACTAACTAACTAACTAACTAACTAACATGTATAAGTTATTCTTGGGAAGCTGATAGTCACCGAGCTAGCCAATAATTATTTCGTCTTTTATGAAACCCGAAGATTTATCACTGCCCTCATATCAGCCTGCCACTGGACCCAATGCTGAGGCAGATGAATCCAATCCATGCCCAATATTTTAATATTATCGTTCTATCTATGTCTAGGTACTCGAAGTATTTTCTTTCCTTCAGGTTCTCTAGCCAAAGTTTCGTATTCAGTTCCCGTCTTTCCTTGCATGTTTCATGTCTCGCCAAACGCATCCTCTGTGTCTACGTCCTGCAGACATAGCACCACTGTAGGAGAGCCACCCGCACTACAGCTGTCGCACTGTGCACGGTGAGAGACTGGCTTCACTGCATTTCGGTAACTATCCACCCTACCGAAACATTGTTCAAACAGAAGCTGTGGTTCTTAATGCAATCTATAATTCATGTTTTGTGCGTCTTCCAGCTGCGTTATGGCCCTGGGGTCGACTAAGCCTCTAACAGAAATGAGTACCAGGAATCTTCCCGGGGGTAAAGGGCGGCCGACGCGTAATGCTGACAATCTCACCGCCATCTGTGAGCAGATTGTCTAGAAAATGTGGGAGCCTCGACGTCTCACAACCCTATGGGCCTTCACGACCTGTTACAGGGACAGCTTTATCTTTTCCGTTTGCAAAGTTAACCGTGTTTTCTTCGGAAAACCTTGAAGGTTCCAGTTGGGCTTCATGAGAAATTTCCGTTACATTGGGCATATTTGGAGCAATTAAATTCGCTAGACTTGACGGCCTTGCGGCGATGACTATGACTGGGTCTGACACCGTGTAGACCGTTACTACTTTGCTGAGCTTTCGGAGGAAAGTACTGTATATGCTTGTTCCTTCTTGGTTGCTTTCTTCGCTTACTATACGGCCCTGATGATGGAGACAGTACGTTGAAGCGAAACGTCGGTGAACTTCTTCTATAATCCTTGGGCCTTCACATCAACGAACACGTTAACACATCAACACCACGCGAAAAGGAGATCAGTAGCAAAAAGAAGAAGAAGACAATGTATGACGCGAGTCTTTGTTAACTGGGAGAGTAACAATCACCATAAAACACTCGAAAATGATTGAAAGTAATTTTAAAGATTGCAAATACTCGAGAATATATGAATCTCCCCTTTCATATATCGTCCACAGTATTTTCAATTCAAAGCACAGCACATACATGGACCAACGTTAGGGTTCGTGTATTTAATGCCGGACTGCTGGATACAAGTCAGTTTGTAACCGAAAGTTCCTTCGCCCGGCCATCTCGATCAAGGTGTTCCGTGGTTTTCCTCGGTCCTAGCACAAATTTCGCATTTCACTGCTTGCTTCACACGCAGCCCTCCCAACGGTAACACCAAAATTTCGCTCTAAGGTAGCCCTCCCAATGTTAGATCAAAATTTCGATCACAGCGAACATGCTGCTCCACTTCCTAACCCTATACTCGATTCCCTACTTTCAGATGTACCTCTACCAAAAGGACAAGCGGGCACTGCCTGGGAACCTTGTTCTCTTCCCCCCTTACATTCCCCTCTCCCGCTCGAAGCGGCAGGCACTCACATCGTTCAGGAGCTCCCTCCGCATCTCAGACTCGTCCATCTCAGATTCGAGTTCCGGCAGGTCCGGAGGCGGGTCCGGGGGCGGCTCCGGAGGCTGCTGTGTCGTCATGGCCGCGCCGCGTGGCCCGGCTCCAGCTGCCGGAGTCTGAATCAGGCCGGGCCACGAGAGGCGCATGCCGGCGGCCCGCGGGCCCAGCTCGGCCCGTCAGCGTCCCATGATCTGCAAGCAAACGAGCATGTTCGTGTAACAGGCTTACCAGCCAACATTACTGAGAATTTGCGTGGTTTTATTCAGTCGCGGAGGTGAGAACCAGAGCGGTAGGTGTCTTAGCTCGGGTTCATGTCATGATGGAGCGACTATCTGGACCGCCCCCCCCTTCGACTCCAGTCTGTACATAGAGATGGAGCAATGAGACAGCCGCTTAACGTATTCTCGTGAAATATGATATTCTATTAAAATATATTTATATATATTTGGTTAAAGTCAAGAAAAAAATAACTGCCGTTTTGCATGACTCTTCTGCGGTCATTTTTCCTCTACTTACCTGGGCACTACGCTATGAGGACGCAGGGCACAGAGGAGGTATAGCTCAACGTATTCTTAACATGGCATCAGATGAGAGTTAAAGGTCATTTCCATGCCCCAGCCTCTTTAATCCCGGGGGAAATGTGACCGGATGCTCATTCGATATGATTCTGGGTGGGCCCATAACCGATCTGGAGGTCCGGAGAGGAGAAAATCTCTTTTCCCTGCCGGGAATTGAACCCGCTCCCTCAGCTGTCCATTCAATAGCCTAGTCACTATACTGAGCTATTGAGACTTCTAGGAAGATTAGTAAATACTTAAGTGCATATGGACAGAAGCTGTTTTATCCATAATTTGAGGTATTATATTAGATTCTCCGTTGATATACTGAGGAAAGCCAGGATGACCAGGCTCCAGGCTGAGATACTGGACAGATGGACAGGAAACAATATATAATATTTTTTTTCTACGAGAGCTCACCTCTGTGTTTTAGGAGCGGAATTATTTTACAACTGCACTACTAATGTGTGTCGTAAGGAAATAGCACCAAGTGTGCTCTGAAAGTGTGGAATATAGATTACAGCAAAACGGAGTTACTTGTCCAATGAAATCCTCCTACCATAATTGAGCCGCGTGATGCATGTGCGGGGTCCTCATTAAGACGCGCGGTGAGAAACACGAGAACTATTCCGAATGAATTAATTTCTCTATTACTACTAACATTATACCCACTAAAACATATATCACTAGGAAACCGACACCAACCCGATAAAGCTAAATATACCACCTGCATGAATTACAAGCCGGAAATTCGATGGTTCGATTTCCGATGTCAATGGACTTTTCAATTCACCTAATCCTTCCAGCCGCATTATGGCCCTGGGGTCGACTCGGCCTCTAACAGAAATGAGTACCAGCAATCTTCAGGAGGCAAAGAGCTGCCGGCGCGTAAGGGTGACAGCCTCACCGCAATCTGTGAGCCCATTGTTTACAAAATGTGGGAGCCTCGACGTCTCACAACCCTATGGACTTCCACGGCCTGTTACAGGGATATCTTTACCTTTTTCATGCATTAACCTTTCGACATTGTGGTGGATAAAGTGGCGCTGGGGCAGGTTTTCTCCGAGTACTTCGGTTTCCTCTGCCAATCTTCATTCTACCAAATTCTTCATCATCATAATCATCCGGGGCAGGTACAATAGGCCAATCAGTGACCGCCATGCCGAGTGAACCCAACTGGACTCCACCCCCCATTATGCGAATTAAAAAAAAAACTTTCGACAGCTTAATCTAGTTTTCGTATTTAACTCAAAGGAGCGGTGTCCTTGAGAAACTGACAGTTGTTCGGCTCGTCAAGAAGTTCCCCGCCCTTTTGCAAACACTAACACTGTGTTCGACCTGAGACTCCTACACCTCTGAGTCTGGTATGCCAATATCTGCTTGTGCGGGCTGGTTGCCTGCTTGACATTTTCTTCGAGCCTTACGATGAAGACGGTACCATAACAGTCATAACAGCTGACCGGATTATTGAGGTATGATGATGGGATGGAAACATACCCGATTCTATGTGTCTACTCTGTCCGTGACTGTTTTTACGCCACTGGTTACCGTTAAGTTTATTTCGGACGTTACTGGTCTAACTTCTGTTCAGTTCGCAAGCCACTGATTCGACAACGGTTTAGATTGCACGCCACTGATTCGACAACTGTTTAGGTTCTACGCTACTTGTTTGCACGCCACAGTATCAACTAATGCTCAGTTCGCACGCCACTGATCTGTTCTGGCAAATCGAGCGCAGGGCGGACCTCGCGGGGAACTCCTGACAATTCAACTTGTGCGCCCGGTTTTGATACTCAAAGTTCAATACTTCACCTCCGACCCTCGGCATGTCTCCCTTTCTGTTCGTTTCTTTAAACAGACATTTCTGTGCGAGATTCCTCGTACGCAAAGCCAGATATACGTGTCTCCAATGCAGCTTTATAATGTACCGAAGTGAGATCAACGTTTGCCGTACCTTGGCGAATTAAACGACATATACTGAGATATGTAGACCCACTGCCAAATACCAGCTGTGTAAAGAGGCGACAGTACAACAGCCGTTGCTAGGGAACAGTTCTGTGGGCATGTTGTTTTCCTGGCAACGACAGAACACGCAATAATGGAACAGACTTTTCTGTGAGGTCTGTGCCGGCGCTAGGCTTCAGGGAAGATAACCGGTATCCGGCCGGAAGACAGGGACATCTCAAATCTGAGACAGTAAAATATGGTCGCGAGTCTCAAGGGACTCGGACCCGAGAAAGACTGCGCTGTCAAGGGCCAGCAGCATATATAGCAGACAGACCCGTCCTCTCGTCAGAGAGGGCGCCCCACAAAAGCAAGACCGTAAATGTCAAACAGTAACAAATATCTGGTCATGAGCCCCAGATGGGGCTCGACACCAAGACTTACTGACTGACTGACTGACTGACCGTCAGTCACAATGTGACTTCGACTTCGACTTCGGTATCCGGCCGAAATTCGAACCGAGGACCTCCAGAATAAGAAAAGGTAAAGTTGTCCCTGTGCTTAACAAATTATGGACTACGCCATGAAAGATGTATGGGGGAGTGGATGTATAGATCCATATTTTCTTGACCTCGGCACTAGTTGGAGGTGAGTGTTCAGCTTTACNCCCCCCCCCAGGGAAAGAGCCGCTGGTATGCGGACCTCCCGAATAGAAACATAAAGCGTTACCGCTGCAATAACTTGCTCAGTTGGATGTTGAGAAGTCACCACTCCTCATAAAGCGACTTTCTCTCTGTGATGTCGGTATAAAAAGTGGCTAGACTCTGTTTCCTTCGGTAAGCGAGCCCGATCAGCCACGCTTAGCGGTTTGCTCCCACGAGCACATACCAAGCCCACAATTTGGGACACGGAGCCGCAGCTCGATATTGCCCCTGGCCCTTGACCTCCCCCCCTCACCCCTCCACCTCCCTTCATTCGCTTTTGGTCCTCTTCCAAAATAAGTTTATTGTTTACAGCTCTCGCTGCAGCTCGTGCCCTGTGGGTGAACTCAGCTACTAAACTCTTCCATTGTTTTACTGTTTCCATGGCAACCTAGAGTTTCCAGTGTCGGAAAGCCACACAACAGATCGCAAGTGCAAAGTTGGCAGGACTGCAGCACAGTGGTGTACTGAGGGCACATCATTGACGGGTCGTGACGTAGGGCGTCGCGACGGATGCAGCGGGTTCCTTCGAACTGCCGGTACCTGCCTACCAGAGTGTTACAGCCCAGAGCCACTGCTGTAGGAACCTGATGTCTCATTACTAATTAGAATCCTTCTGAACCCTACTTCTGCTGCATCAATAGTCTCTACTTATTATATTCCTTGTATTCTACATATTACACATGCAATGCAGTTTTAATACATATATTATCACGTGACTGAGTGACTACAGACGTGGTTTGGGTTGGTAACTGGATTTATTGAACATTTACAGTCTCAGAGAGCCACACAATCCAAGTAACTACAGGACACATGAGTCTTCTCAGTCTTCACTAGCCGTTGCTTGGTAGCGGCTTTCAACGGCGGACGTTCCCTTTCCTCTGGGCTCCCGAACTGTCCCCGGCCTCAGCTACAAGCTCACTTGTCACAACTACAACTCTCAGTTGACTAAATAACCCAAAAGTCGATGTTATGTTACGATAGACGGTCAGTCGGTCAGTCTGTCTTGGCGTCAAGAGCCTTCTGGGGCCCAAGACTTACTAACGGACAGTTGCGGATTTGTTGATGTGGGTGCTCTCTCTGACGAGAGGACGGGTCTGTTTAGATTTTCTGCTAGCCCTTGACAGCGCAGTTACTCAGTCACAACTGACTACTAGACTGCTGCTAGTCCTCGCCAGCACGAACTACTAGTCGTCGTTATATACCCTCGGCACGGACCGCACAGAAAATCTGTTCAATTATTGCGTCTTCTCTCGTCATCGGGGAGACGTGTCCATAGAGCTGTTCCCTAGCGACGGCTGTTGTACTGTTGACTGTTTATATAGTCGTTAGTTGGCAATGGGTCTACATGTCAGTTCTATCCTGGATACTAGCTAGGATAGCTCAGTCGGTAAAGTGACTTGGATATGGGCTGAGGAACTACGGAATTTTGGGTCCATTCCCGGCAGGTTGACAGAATGTTTTTTCTCCGGAGCCTCCAGACCGGCTCTGGGGTTCAGCCAACCTGCTATCCTATGGAACAGCGTAAACTTCCCGGGGCGTATAGCTGACCACTTCTATCTATTACAGTGCGCGCAGTTATCGCTCCACTCCTCCATAGGCCCACATGACGTAGTGCTTGATTATGAACGGGAACAAATTCATGTTTCTTTTTATTGGATCCTCTATTTGCCGTACTTACTTGTAATATGTTTACAGCGTCAGTGGACGAAAAGGCTACAAATGCAATTTCCGTCTGTGCGTTGTTTGACATCTGGTGCAGAACAGTCGCTAACAGAAGCAAACAGAAGTAAGTTTATTGCGTTAATTTAAACATACATATGCACCTAGCACTGAATTTGCCAACGTCAATGAATATAAATTAATTTAAAACGGATATTACTGAATTGCAGATAGATGAACCATGAAACTGTACTGATTAAGACTGACCTAGCTCAATTGTCGAAACACCTAATCTCAACATCATGGAGAGTCGAAAGACAGCTGCAT